AGGCTGGGCCCTGAGTACAGGAGTCCCCTGGCGCTGGGGCAGGCAGACGATGAGGGGGCAAAGCGGAGGCGTGCTCAGCGATTAACAGTGGCCACCAACCCTCCCACCTCCCCCCCACTGGGGCTCTGCACTTCACAGTTTGTAAGCGCTCTCCACGGCCCCCATTACTCCCTCTGGCCCTTCCCACCCCGTTACAGACAGGAAACTGGCTTTCAGAAGGCAAGCTGAGGCTGAGGACCTAGGATCTCACACGCCCAGGCCAGAGACCCCCCCAACCCAGCACCGTGAGGCTCAGAGGCTCCAGGTGGAGACTCGGCAGGGACGCTGGGGCGGGGGTGGGCGGGGTTCCAGGTCACACGGGCCAGAGCTGGAATCCTTCCTCCTTCTCTTTTGGGCTGTGTGACTTCAGGCAAGTCGCCTCCCCTGTCTGAGCTTTAGTTATCTGTCACAGGGGGGATGTCCTGCACCCCCTCCCCAGGCGGAGCTCACCACCGCCCTTCCCTCTTCCACTTTGGGACCAGAATGCAGGGGCCACTCACTGGCTGTCCGTGGGGAGCTTGAGGTCGTCGGGGCGCACCTGGAAGAAGTTGAGGAGGTGGGGGCAGCGAGAGATCTTGACAGGCAGGCTCATGAGCGCATTGCAGTATTCGGTGAGGGTGCCCTGGCGACTCTCGGCGACCCGCAGCCCATCGAACCACCGTGGGGCTGGAGGGGCCCGGGAGGAGCACCAGTGAGCACACTCCCAGGTCAGGTCCCAGAGAGGGTGGGAGCAGGGGGCACAGATCGCAGGGCGGGCGAGCGGAGCCAGGACAGCGGACCTTGCTCCTTACCTGGCAGGTGGGGGATGATCCTGTTCTGTGGGTTGATGTCCCCCGCCTCGATAGGAAACATTTCCTTTAACATTTTCTGGACACAAAAGAAAAGGCGAAGGCACGTCCTTTGCTGACTGTTGTAGTCACGTGGGCTAGAAACTTCGGCGGCCTCTCTTTCTCTCCCACCTTACATTCATGCCACCAGCAGATCCTTCTGGTTCTGCTCCTAAAATCCACCCAGAATCTGACCCTTCTCACTGCCCACACAGCCGCCACCTCGGGCTGAGCTTCCACCGAACCTGGATGAGCACATCCTACGCCGCCTTCCATTTTGTCCTCAACCAGCACCCTCTTCGCACTTAAATTGGATCATGTCTCTCCTCTGCTCAGAGCCTTCCCTGACTCTCAGCTCACTCAGAATGGAAGCCAAAGGCTTCACATTGGTCGACAAGGCCCCGCAGACCTGTCCTGCCTGCCTCACTCACCTCCTCTGCCACCGCCCTTGTTCACTCGGCTCCAGCCATCTCTGAATACGGCAGGCCCACCCCTGCCCCAGGGCCTTTGCACTTGCTCTTCCCGTTCTTCCCCTGTATTTGTCAATAGCGCTTTCTCTTTCACTTTGTCCTTTTTCAAGTCTTCGCTCAGATATCACCCCCTCAGTGAAACCTTCTCCCTGACAATTTCCCCTCCTAACTCAGCCCTCCCATCCACCACCGCCACCCCCTGCTTTATTTTCTCTGGAGTTCTAACGACTAACATACTATGTGAATTACTTATGTTTCGTTTGTCTGTTATCCTGACTCCTCCGCTAGAACTTAAGGTCCACAAGGGAGGGCAAGGACTTGGATCTTTTTTATGCCCTTGTCACCTTCAGAGCATTTCCTGCTCACCAAGTAGGACGCACCTGGGGCTTAGTAGGTGCTCGATAAATAGTTGTTGAATGAATGCATGAGTCCACCGATTAGTAAAAGGGGCTAATCCTACACTGGAACAAGCCAGAACAGTTTAAAGAGGAGAGATGGAGTCGCGCACATATCAGCAATGGACAGGTCTCAAAAATGTGACCTAGTGACAGGAACAAGGCAGAGAAAGGAACAGCGGCAGGCTGATGGCTTCTAGAAAGCCTGCGGAAAATGCACACTCAACACTAAGGCATTTTGTTCTTAGATGGGATAAAGGGTGTTTTCCACTACTTTTGTAATGTTTTCTTTTTTTTTTTTT